GTGGCTGCTTTTGCTGGCAAGAATGTTCATGGGGGATTTGTGCTTTTTCTTTTTGGCTTAGCTGTACCTGTACGAATGTTGCTATCCTGTATCTCAATATCCCATTTCTTCCACATCAGTGCCCTTACCTTAATATAAAAGACTGTATACACTATGCATTGTACCCATCTAAACTATCCAACTTAACTTTCTATCATCTATCTTCATCATCATCTATCATCTAGCTGCTAATTGATCAATCAGTGAATTTATCATGTCAGTTTGTTTGTATGTTTGTGTATAATAGGAAACAGGATAGTTTTGCTATATGTGTTCTCCCTCCCCTCAGGATTTTAAAATTTACGTATTTAGTAAAGAGGGCAAAAGAAAATTAAGACAGTTCCTCCAATAATGAAACCCATCTACGTACATGTCTAAATACAACACACCTACAGTCACACACATACACAACTTTCCATCATTTATTAATAAATAACCCATTCCAAGTATTCTAAAATGTAGTACATTTTATTTTAATTGTAATAATTTTTTTGCATAATTGTGGGCTCTTTTAGTTCAACTGTAAAATAATATTTATGTCTCTATCTTCCTACGAAACTTCCATCACTGAATTTTAACAATGATTTGTAAGATAGCTGCTCTTCTAAGAGTTAATTTATGAAAAAACATTACTTTTTGAGGACGATTCTTCTTTAAATTATAAAATGCCAGCATATCTTATCCCCAAGTTTTATAAAATAGGCCAGAACAACAGGCTCATTATCCTGATTATGTAACTCTAAGATTTGTTGTCAACATTTATAAATTAAATATATAAAGAATGAAAAGAAGTTTTTCCTCAAATCGGAAAAAATGGATTTTGAAATCCCTCTCTAAAAATAAGATCAAGTATCAGTTTCATTAATAGAATAGTCTAAAAATACACACATGTATCGATACATAACTTTAATAAAGCTAAAATTGAATCAAACGAATAAGCATTTTACTAGATTATAAATTTTAGGCTAGCTCATATTCGATGATGCTTGGAAAATAAGCAGGTTTGAGAAGGTGGACAGGCTGCCCTGGGAATGCTTGCTGCTATTTTCAAGGGTGCTGTATTGCTGGAGAGCAGGGAGTGGGGCTAGGTCAAATTAGAATGCCACGAAGCTCTCTGTTCTTACCAAGATTCAGCTGCTTTTCTTGAACAAATGATCCCTGCATTTGGCAAACTTCTGGTAAATTTCCATATTTGTGAAATGTTCATTCTGACCATTGTTGCCAGTTTTGTGTTGCTTTTACAGAGAAGCAAATTTTGGGAGGTTCTCACTACTCTTTCCTCTGTGATGCCAATCCAGAAGTGTTTCTGAGGTGTCCCGTAATCCATTAGCTCTCTCCAACACAATGGTAGACAGCTAGTCACTTTTGACTCCATCGTCTCCCAGCATCCTGTGCATTCTATGTCCATGTATGTAATAACGTCCCCAAATTATTATGGAGAGCTAAATGTGAATACACCTACAGGATTAGCTACCTGAGCTAATATTTTATTCATTTAAAATGAGCATAACATTTTTATTTATTCCAACTATTATAACTGATTTAATTACATTTTTTGGCATATGCCTGATATAAAGATTATGACATTAATATTTTAATGATGAATAAATTAATTCTTCAGAATCTTTGTCCTTGGTAATTGTACACATTTATTATGAAATGATATTTTTGTGGGAATAATTAGGTATATTTTAGGATGAAAGGATTTTAGTTAAAAATGAGTAAAAATGATAAATGCAATAAAGTATGGCCTGAAGGGTCACAACCCAAGCCTGCACACAGCAGTGTGATATAGGTCTGGGTGTCTGGACCTGTATGAGTTACCTCTGATGCACTGAAGGAATCATCACAACATAATCTGACACTCGTTCAGTAGCACTGAATCATTCAACAGCAAGACCACTGCACTGCCTTTCAAGGTTTTTAACAGACAGTTATCAGAGGAACCTGAATTTCGGTGTGTTCATTCACTGTGTAAATGAATCATATAAAAATCTTAATAGAAAAAACAGATGGCTATATCCCAGATGCACAGAGAAAATGGGAAACTTAATCCTAGCAAATAATAAAGTAGAAGATATACTGGTAGAATTGCAAGTGGAGACAATAATTACGTTTATTTAATTGGTTAACTTAATTTAAATATACTTTTTTCACTTTTATTCTCCTATTTGGTTCTTTTACAATCCCCAATTTTAACACCATGTCCTGTTCTTTTCATACAATTTCAATTTTGTCTTTTAAAAGAAAGATAATTAAAATATTTTAGATTGTTAGACTATGCTTTACCTTATAATGGTTTACTTTCTCCTATGATTCATAATTTGGAGCTCAATGCTCTTCTGTGAGAGTGGTTTTACTGAGAGCCTACGGGAGAAGTCCCCGTGAAGCTGATCGTAGCACCGGCCTCTGCAGACACCAGTGGTATTCCCCAGTCCCTGTTACGTTGTGTTTTTATTTTAATTTCTCGGGTAGGGGCAAAGTTACCACCTGGATAGCATAAATTTAACACCAAATCTCACAGGAAGCAGAGGATTTCTAATGCAATGTATCTCGGGTGACTTTTTATTTCTTTTTAGGTACTTAGAACATTAGAAATATGAGGTGGCCTTTCAACGTATATCTCTTTATAACATTTAAGTATTTTAACATGTGTATGAACCATTTAATTAAAAACATATGTGTAAGTATATATATAAAATATACACACACACTCATATGCATGTTTATATCTAATCTATGTTTTAGAACTTCATATGAAAATCTATTAGGAAAATTTTGATATAAAAGCAATTCAGTGTAATTTAGTCCAAGGCAAGTGTCCTGTTTGAATGCTAAATCTGGATCAGAAATGGGATCATATGTGTTTTTAAATTTCAATTTTTTAAAGTGGCTCAGATTTTACCAAGTAAGGAATATGCCCAGTCTGCTAATGTATTATCATCCTCTGCAGGTGGATTTTTCCTATTATGTATACATATGCAAATGTTGATCTATAGACCAGTCCTATTTTCTGAAATTCTTCATCTATATGATGGAAGGTAGTAAGGGACAAATCTATTAACTCTTGTTTTTCCAGTTTTTAAAATGACAGAAAATTCATTATGATTTTCAAAATTATGAGATGCCAAGAGAATTGAAATAAAATATGAAATAATTTCAAATTATACGATTTGAAATGATATAATTCCAGGCTTGAAATAATTATATCATTAATAGTAAAATGCTGGCAATAAAATATCAGGAACACTAATGAACATCTATGTTTATTACATGTGAATGTGTATTAGAATATATATAGTATTAGAATATTAAAGTTGTTAACATTATTTATCCTACATGTGATTTTTTTCAGACTCTCATTTATTTCAGTCAGTATTATTCTAAACGTGGATAAAAGCAAAGATGGCACGGAGTCCTACCAGGGAGTGAGCTGACTACGCAGGAAGTGTTAGATGTAGTTGTCATCATATGTACAGAATAGCTCAGGGTCATCAGGGCTATGAAGCACTCAGGGTAATACAAATCACACCAAATAGTAACATCTCGCATGTTGAGATTACAAAGAGCAAGGAAGAGTGATGACACAGATCTTACAGTCATTCTTATATCAAAGAAATTTTCATCATTTTTTTTTTCATTTTTGGGAAGAATTCACAAAACCAATAGATTTCCATTCTTATATACCTGACTATAAAACAGCCTTGTCTACTGATGGGCATTACAACCTTCCCCCATGGCTGATGTTTTCTTCTATTTGAATAATTTCTTATAAATGGAATTTCCCTTCTACTGGAACTCTATACCATCACTAAATTATAGTTCTCTAGATGTCACCTAATCACCTGGATGGGATGGGAGCTACAAAGGGAGCTTTCCAGGTATCATCACAGAGCTGGTGAATCAGAGGCTGTGGGTGACAGACAGCTCTGATTTCCACACTATAAGTAAGGGAAGGGCCTCAAATGCCACTACAGCTTGCTACAGAATATGCCAAGCTACATATATCTCTCCAGCCTTTGCATCTACTCAAGATGTCAACATGGCTCGGGGGTGGGGGCCTCAAAATGGGAAGGAGGGGATGCCCAGGTAAAAAGATGCAGTTCAGAACACTGTAGACACTGAAGTCCCCAAATCTGTTCTCTCGAGTGATTCAGTTACACCTGGCTTTGTGGGCAAATCTGGGATAGTAGCATCACTAATCATACAATTTCTACAAAACATTAATTCTGTACTCCAAAAAGCAAGTTTAAAAATTTAGAAACATTAATGATAATAATAGCACATATTGAGAACTTTAAATGAATTTGAAAGATAGTTATCTTATATAATTGTTATAGATAAGGGAACTGAAGTTTAGATAAAAAAATAATTCACCTTTCATAAGTTGAAGAGCACTTAAAAATGTTACCATAGAAATTAATTTGTGATTTATATATCATTTATATACAGCTGTCTTAGATACTTAGATTTTGTAAATTAGGGTTGATGTCAACAGTAAGAAGAAGTTTATGAAACTTTGATTAATCAAAATTATTTTCATTCTATGCATTAATTTTTAGACTCCTTTGAAATAGTATCAGCAAATTGTGAAAATCCTTGAACTTTGAGATCAATTAAAATAGGTCTCCCAAAAGTTAAAGTATACTGAAACGATCTTATATAGACACCACTGTAAGTTCTTGAACACTGTATTCATATAAATATAATTATTTTGTCAAAAAATAGTATTTGACTCAGTTTACTTATATATAAGTTTTTAAAAACTTTTTAAAACAATGAGAGGAATAGATATATTACATAATATAAAAGAATCTCTTAAATTTATATTTTTTCTCGATAGAAAATGATTAGTACCAATTATTTGTGCACAAAAATCAGATACCATCAAGATTATCTTCTATAATAAATAAAATTAAAGAAATATATAATTCAGTTTTCCAAGAATTTCTCGCTCTTACCTGCTGGTTTACAGGAAAGTTTCTGTTGATTTTTTTAATCTGTAATGATAAATAAATAATAAAATTGTGCATAACAAGGATAAAGTAACATAAGGTCCCCAAAATTTTATGAGGATATATTTTTAGTGACTTAATATTCAATCTTGACTTGCTGAAATCATTACATGACAAACACCATATATGAAAGGGTTTCTTCCTTTTCAAACATCAGGTATCAAAATTATCTCAAACTTCATATGCAAAAATTTTGAAAAGTATTTTTACTTAATTTTTTTATCTGTGAGAAACCAAAAGTCTATGTTTCCCTGCAATTTTAAATGATTATCTACTAAGAATGTAGACAGTAACTTTCTGTATTTTTTTGTACTTTGAAATTATATCCGATTTTTTTTAACACTCAAGGGAACAGAGTAAATGAAATATTCAAATATTAAAGGATAAAGTATGTATGTTGAAATATTTTCTGTCAGGACTCCAAATAAAGTATAACATTTACTTTAAGACAATTTAATGAATGACATTTTATAAGAATTTAAAATAAATATTCAGAGAAAGCATTTCCTCTGTAGTATACCATGGAAACAAACTTTAAAACCAAATAAAAATTAATATCAGGTTTAGATAAATGAGCTTTGACTACGCAAAATCTTTCTTCAACAATACTTTTGCTAATTAAAACCCATTATTTTCCATTGGCTTTGTAGTGAAACTTAAACAATGCTACCTCTGTATGGTATATGCTTACAGCAGAGTAAATACAGACTATTTTCACGTATAAATTATATTATTGACGTATTTTATTTTTCCCTTTTTCAGTTCCCTTTTGTCTTACTGATAATTGTGAAATGACAGGTAATTTCATGGACACAGAGCACAAAGTTGGAGAATTATCAAATGTAACATCTTTAAGAACAGACTTACTGGCAGGATATTCTCATTTAAAATGTAAAAATAAAAGAAAATTTGAAAATATATATGTAAGTTGAGCAAGGTCATGTACAGAAACCATGTCCTTCTAACATTATTATAATCATTTAAAAGTAGTTTTTGCTCTGGTGAGGAATCGGCTAAGGAATCTCTAAAACTCCTCATGCCTTCAGCTAAAATCAGGATAGTCTGGACACGTAGAGGAAAAAGCTGAGCCCTAAACATTTTTTTATTAACCAATCAAACATTCTATACTAAATACTTTGTGGAACTATGCTTTTTGCTAGTTCTTATGAATTGCTATAAAGAATTGCAAAATTCAACTAATATTTATGTGGACTCATCTTTAAGAGTGTACTATCTAGCTTTTGAGTTTGTTCAATCTGAAAACAGTCAGAACAATCTTTTATGGAAACCTGAAAATTGGTCGTGTGGAGAAGCACTGCATGATATAAAGTGTGGTTGAGTGGAACACGTGTTGATCACAGAAATCTTCTCCTACTAAACTCGCCCTCGAGAGTGTCTGCAGAATGACATGTTCCCTCCAGCCGTGGTCCGCCTTCTCTCCCCTATAGGGTATTTACTAGGCTGTTAACCTTATTTACTGGTGTAGAGTTGTTATATTGTATTTGATATCACTGATTTTGTTTTCGTTACTGTTTTCCTTAGTACTTACCTGATTAATCTTAGAAAAGATGAACTTAGTAACATATGAATCTTATCTTTATCCTTTAAATACTTTATTGTATACCATTAGTGTTATTAAAAAATAAAATGTCTGGTATATTTCCTACCATCTCTCAAATATAAGCCAAGAATGTAAGAGCAACTTGGACAAAAATTATAATATAAAGGAGTATAACAATTACTAGAGAGTTAGGATGATAAGGTAGTTAGTGTGATATGCCAACAACTAGAATTTTAAAATAATAATTAGTATGTAAGAAAATAAATGTTTGGAAAATCTTAAAATAATGACATTTAGAAGTCACTTATAGATTCTTTTCTAATATATGACTAATGCAATAATAAAATAATAAAATGGAACAAAGATTTAATAATATTAAATCAATTATTGAAGAAGGAATATTCTTTAGAGTAGAAATACTAATAAATTGCATTTCTTTTATTCAAATGATGTCATCATGACCTTTCAAACACTGCTTCTTTATAACTTCTTAATACTATATATTTGAACAACTTATCTTATTCCAAGATCTGAATAAAAATGTTTTTAAAAATGGGTTGTTACTTAAAAACTGCTAACTGTAGTATTAATAAGTTTATTTGGCAATGAAATAACTTTTCAAGTTTATTTCCACCAATATCTACAGCTTTTCATTTGTGTATTGGCATAAATGATACACTCATATTAGTTCACTTTCTAATGGAAATATAAATGTAAATAACCAAACTGCAAAGCACACAGAAAGGCAATCACAGTGAGGTGCCTGGGGCCGGGCTCAGGAAACTGACCCTTTGCCCTCCTTGTAACATCAAGCAGAGTAAATGCATTCTTTTCAGGGTTTGGGGGGCAGTATAGACACAAAATTACACCTTGTTAAGATTTTAAATGTATACACACACCCAAAGCCATTTTAAAGATAAAAAATTTCAATCTTACCTACAGCAAATAGCATTGAACAATATAAAATGTTCCATTTTCTAGTAAATATACTAACATTTTAAAATAAAACAATAATTAAATGCAGGGAAAATTTGAAAATCTCCCACTTCAAATACTTTAAAAGATAATTCTCAACATTCTAACATTTTAAAATATGCATACACATACCCACCAAAAATTAAGTGGAAAAGGCAGTGTAATTAAAACTTACATGCAGCGTATGCTGAATTATTTATCATGCTAAACAGTAACTCATATGCCTAAAACATTATAATACTGTGCATTCATTACAAATGCCCATGTTTTTATTTACTGATTGGTAAGAAATGATGTTTATAAAATGTTCTCATTTAAAGACAGTTTATGAAATTATTTTTAAAATTTTATATACACATACATAGATTGCTAATTTAGGTACACTTCCACTCTTATGCATTTAGTTTAATATCCCTAAGCATGAACCAAAATCTATTTTTATATGTTAAATACACACATGTAAATAAGTAGATGTGTGTGTTTGATAAAGAATTTGACAGTTATAAAAATGTTAACAGTTTTATTTTTGTTTGGGGATTACGACACAAATATTTCCTTTTGCTGCTTTGTATTTTGTAATTATTATTTTTAAAATACAACTTGTATAATTAAGAAATAGTAAAATTAGTTCAATCCTATTTTCTTAACAAAGTTGCTCTCTTATAAAAAATTTTACAATCTAAAATGTCATTAAAACAAATCCCAGAATAAACTGTTTTTAAGGAAAACGCTTTTTGTTTTTCCTCTCTCAATCTGACTTTTAAAGTCATTCATAACATTTTAAAGGTTTGTAACAACCCTCAGTCCTCAGGAAGGTCTGTGTGTGCGCACTTGTGTGTATTTGCTAAATGAAGAGAAGAAGGGGGAGAATGTATTCACTCATTTCTGAAATCTTTTAATGATCTTCTACCAGGTATGAATCATGGATCTAAGTGCTAGAACATGGAAATGAGAGGCACTGGCATAAGAATGCCAGTTGATAGAATCCAAACAGTGCAAGTGGCTGCAGAGGGAAACGGATATACGTAGGTTCAGCTTGGGAGCCGCAATGTAGACACACAACCACATCGTCAGGCTTACCTGTTAGAGACCTGGTTTTGCATCCCTGCTATAACTGTTACTATAGGTTCTCAGGCAGGGGTTAAATCTTTTCATTTGTAAAATGTCAATAATAATATTATCTGCATATATTTCTTGGAAAAATTAAACGAGAAAACAAATGTGAATTTAGAGCTCAAAAAGTGGCAATTATTATTACCATAAAGTAAGCTTGGATTTCCTTTGAAGACAATGAGTGTATTTTAAAGAATGCTGAGCAAAGATGTCAAGCCCACTATACTTCCCAAACCCTTTCTATTTTCCTGCCCACTCTAGACTAGGATTTGAATACTCAAGTACCAAGTGGGTGACAATCACGGGTGAATCAGGGTGGGTGGGAACAGGCAGATGGAAAAGTGAAGACTGCAGGCCTCCCTAAAAGCACCCACAAGCTCCATCACCCGCAGGCATGCCCACAGCTCGACAGAGAAATGCATCAAAGCTTCCTCCTGTGTGGCGGTGGTGCAATAGCCTAGAGTTTATCAACTGGGCACGGGATACCCCTTTTTACACTTACAACCATATTCTAGGCAACCTAAATTATAAATGAACTCTTGATATAAAAAATACTAGCAGTAAATTTGTTTTGAAAGGTACTTATTTTGTAATCTTAATATCAAGACATTAAAATTTAATATGAAAGTGTTAGAAATATATATTGATTACAATTTAAATTTATTTTAAAGTAAATAATTATTCAATGATTGACATAGTGTTGACTATATTATATATAGTAAAATATGTAATATAGCTAGTAAAATATTAAACCATAAATAATATATTCTTAGTAATAAAATACTTTCATAGAACAATGTTTTAAAAATTATCTACTTTTGGCAAAAATACTAATTCTAAATAATGGAAATTCTAAATTATCTGCATTATTGTCAGACTGCTCTTTAAATAAGACAGAGTTTTTCCAAAAGACATTTTTCATACTAAACTTCTTAGAAACCAATGCTAATTATGTATTATCAGGACAAACAAATTGCATTATAAGTAGATGAAAAATTAATACAATCTTGAGCAAAGTAAAGGCAGTGTCTGAACATGAAGATTGTTGAGATGAAAGGACATAACTGCAGTCCATATCACCAAACCTGTTGATTATGGAGCATGATTATTTAAGCTATTAATCCTCAGGCTGTAAAAGCAGCAGAATGATTTAAACTGGGATTGCCCAACACGTCATAGCTATAAGAACAGCACGTGACATAAACCATTACCAAGTAAAATGCATTCATATGAATGAAAGCCACATTAAGGCTTTTTAAAGTTCAAAACAGAAAACAAGCTCATAAACTCTCTATTCATCTCTGCTTGATTTCTTGGAAGATCACTTCTCAGCAAC